ACGTGTATGTGTCTGCTTTGCTGAGATCTGCTGATCATGTGCATAGGCGTGACCTCCATAGGGTGACAGGTATGATACAATGGTTCTTTCATGCCTTTCCCCAGCTTCGTCCTTGGATTGGAGTGCTTTACAAGGACTTGCGCTGCCCTCCTGCTACTTTGCACAGCTTAGACCCACATCACTTCGCGGAGCTGCACGACTGCTTGAGTGACGAGCTTGTGTTTGTTAAGGTGCCGTCAGGTACAGCAATTCCGATCGGTGCCAAGCTCATAGATGTGCGCCACATGCCGATCAAGCGCCGATCTGATTTGGCAAAGATCGTGCTTTCGTCCAAGCGTGTTTGGATTCGGGTTGCTGACCCCGCTCAGAGTAAGCGTAGGCTGTCCAAGAACAGTGTTGCTTTTCTGACATTTTGGCAGCATTGGTGCAAGCTTCCTGCTTTACTCCGGCCCTTGCAGTTCACTCCAAGATCCACGCTCGTGGCAGCTGCAGATGCCATGGGCTCAGGTACAACCTTTGCCATAGGCGGCTTTGTCAAGCTTTCGGTGGCTACACTGTGGTTCAGCGAACAGTTTTCTGTTGCCGATTTTGCTTTTGCAGGCATCGAGTTCCCAGGCCTCTGATAACATTTCATGTTATGAGTGTCTGGCACAGATTGCTTTGCTTCACTGCCTCTCAGCTGCTTTACCTGGAGGTCGCATGCATGTCAGGATTCCAAGCTGGTCGGACAACACAGGCGCTGAATCGGTGAGCAACAAGCTTTTTACGTCCTCGTACCCCCTCAGCATCTTTGCCCAGCGTCTTGCATTGTTTAGCTGCTTTTCGGGTATCGAACTGGATACTACTCATATATCTGGTTCTCGCAATGAACTTGCTGATTGGCTCTCGCGTTGGAATGGCACAGATGCTCTTCCTTCGGGCATTGTCCAGGATTTCAGGATTCGCCTTGATCTTCGTCAGCTTTGGTTCAGGGAACGCTGTGTCTCTTTCCATCCTGGAGATTTTGAGCCAGGTTGGTCAGCACCTACGTTGCAGCTTTTTCGCGACCAAGACAACCACTGACATTGCTTTTCATGGTGGCCGCAGCCGCATGAGTTAGCAGTTGCAATGCTTACGGCCTCCTCCTTTTGCGGGGACATGCCACTTGCTTTACGGCCTCCTCCTTTAGCGGGGACATGCAAAATGCGTTACGGCCTCCTCCTTTCGCGGGGACATGCCAAATGCTTTCAGGCCTCCTCCCTTTGTGGGGACATGCCTTGCAGGTGAGCTGCTTTACGGCCTCCTCCTTTAGTGG